CGTGTCATGAGTCTTCTGTTTGTGCCACGTACCATTGTTCTTGTGGACAGACGGTACCATCTGGTCGATGATGGAGATGCTTCACACGTTTTTTAGCCCGCGTCGTAACTTCGTAGCCACAGCTAGGGCACGGGACTCGTCGCGCCAGGCGCGACACGGCTGTTTTGGCTCGTGATGTCTCCCGCCGCTCACCCACTGTCAGCGAATGTCTTTTTCGAAGGACCTCATGGACCTCTTTCCATACATTCTTGATGGCGTGTTTTCGCTGCGTGGCAGCAACAAAGCGGCGCGCGCGCGCGCGAAATTGACTCGAACCACCGGGCGGGGCTTCACGCCGCGTTGCCGAAGGCAAAGTTTGCAATGCCCGGTTTTCTTGCCCTGCCGCCACATTCGTTCACTGTACATGTTTGCGTTCCGATCTAGCCCGCACCGACCGCAGCGTCGTACTGCCATGCAAGAATTGCAGACACGTGTCCACGTCTTTTTCGGGTTTTTTGCTTCCTTCGGAAAACAAATTATCTCCTGGAAGTTCAAGCACACAGCGCATCGCCAGGGCTTGTTTTGTTCAACGAAGGCCTGTACGCATTTTTTGCAGACACGCGTCGTATCCTCCGCGCTCCACTGGGGCTTGGTGAAGGCGTTCGTGCGCTTGTGGATGTCGCATGTGCTGCACCGCTTTGTGACATTGTATCGCGCCCGAATGGCCGCCCAGTCCGGCGGGTTGCCACGCCAGCACTGCAACAACAAATCTCGCTGACCGGTGAGGCCCTGCTGGAACGGGGCCGACGCAAACGGTCGGGAGATAAGCAGCTTTCTCCGTTCGCGAACGCGCGTCACGGTGATGTAACACGTTATTATGTGCGCGCCAGGTGGCAAATCGCAGTCCGCGATAACGCCTTCCTCCAGCGTCATGCCCTGCGCTGTGTGCGCTGTCAGTGCGAAAGCCGGCGCCAGCGGCACCTGGCGACGACAAATTCGAAGCATGGAGCGTTTGCGGTTGCTGTCGAGATACCACGTGCCACTGCGCGGGACGACTGGGTAAACGTTCGGGAGCGGAACACCCTTCAACTTCCAAGTCTGCTTTTGGAAAGGGAATTCCACCCAGACCACGTCTGGCATCTTTTGAAAACTAGAGACACTGCCGAGATCGTTTATGTTCGTGTCGCTCTCCGATTGCCATCCGCGCACCAGTCCGAGACGTCCTTTCAATAGACTCTTGTTGCCGCGGTCGATGTGATCCGTGAGACGTACAGGCATCCCCACACAAAGCGGCAGCAGTCCATAAAGGCTACCGCAAGCACGGTCGTGTCGCTTGAGCCAGTGTTTTTTGGATGCTGGGAGATCTGGCTTCTCCCGAAGGGCAGCTGCGCTGATTTTGTCCCGGGCTGGTAAAAGTATGAGCCGCTGCGCGCGCTCGCGCGCGAACGCAGCTGCGCGAAGTTTATTGACGTGATGTTTGATGTCGTTCGTGGCGAAAATGGCTGGCGCCGACGCGAACTCGCGCGTGTACCTCGTGTCCTGCGGTCCGTAGCTGAGCAAACGGCGGCTTGTGCGTTCCTCGCGGCAAATCTTGCACTCTTGCATCATTATCTCTGTCGGCTTGTGGGCTCGCCGAAGAGCCCGGCATGCTGGATTTCCACACAGAACATCCCCACGGCACCAACTCCCTGGAACTGTTGTGGGCTCACCATGGAGAAATGCGTGCATGTCGTCGCTGAGCTTACCGACACGCATCTCGTCTTGCATCTCCCGCAACCATTCGTCTTTTGTTCTTTCGCACACCGTCAACTCTGTCACGCCCTGTATGCCGTGGTGAGAACCGCCCCAGACTAATAACTGACCGTACGCCGCTGTGGGCCCTCGCCTGACGCAACCCTCTTCGAGCATGGCTGTTGGAAGCGCTCCCAGGAATGTTCCACTTGGGGGCTCCAGCTGCCACAAATCTCCACTTAAGATTATGTTCAGTCCGCCGAAAGGGCGCTGCAGCCGTGCGCCGTCATGAAACTTAGTGCTGGACGCATCGCGCACTATATCGCGACACTTTAATTCCAACCGTGCAAGCAATTCCGCGCTGACCATGCTGAACTCGTCCAGGAGCACCCAGCGCCAAAGTAATGCTCGCTGCGCCAGATCTTCCAACGTTTGCCAGCTGTCTTCCGCGTCGGCGGTGAAGACGCCGAGGGACAGCGCGCGGTGAATTGTGTCACCGTCCAGGGCATCTGCGTTCGTCGCTTGAAGGGCTACAACCTCGAACTGCACGCCACGCTGCCAGCCCAAGACAGATTCGAAAAGTTCTTCTTTGAGCAGTTTTAAGACGTACGATTTTCCTGTCCCAGGACCCCCGTGCAGCACCCATCGCAGGCTGTCGTCCGAGGCTTGCGCCCTGTCGTCGTCGCCATAGAGGCTCACGTCATGTTCCTCACGCAGTACTCTCGCCGCCACCTTCTCCAGAAACGCAAACTGCTCAGTGTTGCACCGTACCCGCACATCCTGGAGCCAAGATCGCACCACCTGCTCGACGTTTCCTGCTGTTTGGAGTGTCGTAGCGGGTTGATCGGGAGCGCAACCGACTCCGCCCAACGCTGCATGTCCGCTTCGACACCGCCTGTCTTTGGCTTGCTCGAGCATCCGCTGCCGCCGTCTTCATGTCCCCGGACATGATGACCGGCTCGTTGCTGCTGAAGACGGTTTGGTCGTGGCCCGTGGCGGCAGAACCCCACGTGGCTTCAACTTGGGAACAAACGCTGTCGAACGCGCGCGCACGTAGCGCCTGCGCACTCGCTGTTTCACGAGTCCCTCCTGTGCCTGTGGCTGACTTGGCAAATATCTCGGCGACGTCGCTGGCGACCAAGTCCACATCCGGGTCACTCGCTGCATCGTCGCTGTTTGCCTCGTTCGTTGCATCGGCCGGTCGCACGCGGTGCACGCTGAGAAAATTGCTGACATAATTCTTGGATTCTGCGCACAGGATACATCCGTCCATCCACTGCCGCAGGGCAGTTTCCCATCCATCGTCTCCCCGCAAGGCCTTCAGGTGCGGCACATGTTCTGTTGCCCTCCGCGCCCGCAACGTCCAGGGCCGAAAATACACGCTGGTAATCCTTGCGTTCTCTTCCCGCATTTCTTCGCGACTGCGCGGCCTTGGGCAGTACTCGAATGTTGGGCACTCCGGCCGTAGACGCTTTTTAAACATCCATAGATGTCGCAGAACCGAGGTTTCAGGTTCTGCATCGAAGGCCACGGCGTGTCGCGGCAACTTGTCTTTGAGGCGAAAGTCGACGACGGGTTCCAGCGCTGCCTTTGCGCCGGCTGCGGCCACAATCTTCTCGTGTCCCGCGTCCGTCAATTCCACGTCCCAGCGGCAACCGTCGTGCCCGAGGTCGGACAGCACGCTCGGCACGCGTGTTGGCACGACGTCCCAGTGAACAGTCAGCTCGTACGGGGAAAGAAACCACAGCTCCTTGTCGGTGGGACGCAACGCGTACAGAAGGGCAACGTCTTTGGCCTCCAGCACGCGTCCACGGCGTGAGTGCCGTCGAACCAAAGTCAATGCCCGCTGTCGGGGCACGACATTTTTTTGCTCTTGGACTTGTTTCACAAGAGCCAAGTACTGTGCACCCATGAAAGCGACCGTCGGGCTGGTCCGCAAACTCTCGGCGGCAACAGCGTACGTGTCTTGGTATGTGGCACGCAAGTTGCAGCACTCCACCTGGCCACGCACGATCCCTTTACAATATGCGTCAGATAGGAAGCGACAGACGTGGCGGCGACCCAACTTGCCCGGCCCCTCCTGCGCGTGCGTGGCATGCAGGTTTTGGTGCCCCTTTCGGAATTCCTGGATTTCCTTATACGCCATGGGCTGGTTCTTGCCGCAATAATCGCAGGAGTAGCCAGTCTGCGCGTCCTGCGCCCGTTGAGCTGCTAGAAGCGCACGTCTGCGCAGGCGCGGCGCGCTGATTCTGCATTTCTCACACATAACCGGCAGCCGGTAAGGCAGCTGTACGTCCGAGTTGCATCGGAGCGCTGCCAGCAGCGCTGGGTGTGTCATGTTCAACCACGCGTGACTGTACGGACCATGCAAAGACCCCAGACGATTCTTGCGTCCGCCGTTGGGCATATCGAACTCAGCCAGGGTACATGGGCATAGCACGTGACTGCTGGCAGTCAGCCAACGATCACGTGGAAAATCTGCTTTGCAAAGACCCGGTTTGTCTTTGCGCCGACAGCCTGTAAGCGGTTCGTACTGCTTTGTCTCGGCCTTGTATTTGTGCACGTGGTGTTGCTTCCGAAGTTGAACAGCCAGGACATCTTGCGCCAAATACGACGTCGTCCACTGTCGCGCATCTTCTGCCTCGTCTACGCTCCCCGTGCATCGCTGCAGAAGATAGCAGGGGCGGTTCACCAAAGCCCAGTCATCACTATGGTCGGGCCATGTTGTCCGGAGTCGTTGCAACACTTCTTCAACGACCTCCGGTCGCGCGCTGTGCGTGCCGTACATAACATGGGCAGCGTAGCGCTTGTAGTCGTCAACCAGCTGCTCCCCTCGGCGCTCGACTTCATCCCACACCTCAGTCAAGCTGTTGTGCTGATGCAGACATTGAATAAAAACCTGCGCGTGCCCGTGGAGGCTGCCTGATGATTTCTGTGCTTCTATGGCAACGTACACAGCATCCACGCGGCCGAACACGCCCCCCACTGCAGACGCTCCGCACCCCAGCGCGTCTTGACACTGGCCGGATGAACGCCGATTGCAATCAGGACACCGACTGCAAAAACGCACGCCAAAGAGATGGCGCAAGGCCAACGACATCAACACGCGAAAGCCGTCGACACTTGCCAAAGGGTCGCGTGCCAAGATGGCTCTCCTCTCCTGCCACGTCGGTACGTCCTGGCGCAGGGTTTCGACCAACCCGGCGACGGGCAAAGTTAAGTCGTGGCACAGCGGCGGCCAGTCGCGACCACGCGCAGCGACCAAATCTGGCGTATCGCGAGCATGGCATGGGTCTGTCACGCGCCCCCGGCTCAGACGCACGAACAACAGCTGATGAGCTTCGTCGGGAGACATTGTCACGAAAATAGGCGTGCCGTAGCGCACGCGCATGGCTTCAATTTCGTGTCGCATCTTGGCTCGCGCTTCCTGCGTCCCCGGAAGGTGCTTCGCCGTACCAGAAATGCTGCGCAGCATCTTTTGAGCAGTCGAACTCAACCCGGCGACACGCCCCACCTTTGTTAAGTCGCCGTTCACCTTCTGAACGCGTCCGCCCGCGTCCACGTACTGCCCGGACAGAGCCGCGAGCAGATCCATTGCAGCCTTTTCCATGTCCGATGCGGACAATGGACGGTGACCCTTGCGGACATCGTCATACACCGGCCCACCCATCACATAGACCGTGCGAGACAGGTTGACGGCCGATTTGAACAAAACATTCCACGTCGTGAACCCAAATACCCAATCTCGGCCGAGCTGCGACTCGACTCGTCGCGCCATGATTCGAACCCACTCACCAAGTTCCACACGCGGCTCGTCGTCGAGCCGGCGCCAACGCGGCTTGCCTGTAAACTCCGCAGGATCCGGAAGACCAGTGCAGTACTTAAAGAGATACGCAAAAGCCACGCCGAAGTACCATGGCTCGAATTGATCCAGCATCTGTGTACCCGTTGCGACACATAATCGGGCCCGGTGCTTCGACGTTTCTTTGGACTCACGCGCCTCGGCAGCCACTGCGAGCAGCGCCGCAGTCTTCCGTGAGTTCACGTCCGCGTCCGGCGCGCAGCTTTTCTCGAGAACCACAGCGTTTGGCTTGAGGTTTTGCATGCGCGCAGCAAGCGCGTCCTCGTCTTGCGTGGACGCCGAAGGCGTGGCGTTCTTCTGCGGCTGCAAGAAATCGATGTCCTCGTCGTACGGCAGCATCACTTTTAACTCGGCCGGGATGTCGTTTTCGGGCAGAGCCTGTGCGCGAGCCTCTACTTTCTTCACGCACACATTTCGGAACGCACGGTGTCCTCTCGTGCGTGCGTTGCGAATCAATTCCAACACGACTGACCTTCGAACCGTGGCTGCATGCACGAATTTTTTTAGCGCAGCTGGAGTGATCTCTTGATCGCCCGTCTTCAGCAGCACGGACATGAACTCACTCAACTCCGGACCAAGACGCGGGAGTTCGAGCGACGACGATTGCTCCTCGCCCTCCTCCGCCCGGAGCCTTTCTAGTTGCGTCAGAATGCTTTCCCATGGCAAAGGAAAAGTCGTGGCGTTGCCGCGAGCAGCCAACCGATTCGAGTTGCTCTGCGCAGCTTGGTCCATAGGCCGCAAACCCCGGTACTTCTTCTCCAAGCTGAAGCACACCATCGTTGTCAAGCACGGACTTGCACACACCAATTCCATGAACGTCGCGTTCAGCTCGAAGATTTCCCGCGGCGCATAGTATATCATTAGGTCATTCGAAAGTGCTTGCGGCGGCTTCACGTTTCTGTGAATGACGTCAGTACGGCAAAAACGGCACAGTGGCACCTCACACTTCTCGCAGCACTCCGCCGACGCTGCTGGACAGACCTGGCAACGGCGATCCTCAGGGCAGCATAGTAGGCTGATCCGTTGCTGTTCACATGTAACTACACATCGCCAGTCCAGCAGCTCCTGCTTCATTCTCTCGGCAGCCACCTCGTTGTTCAGCTTTGTCGAGGCGTAGCGATCTTTGTACGTCTCCAAGCCCAGAATGTTTTCAAGCTCCGCGGCGGAGCAGTTCAAGACTTTGCCATCGCCGCCACCCAACGTCTGCCAGTCTATGTCTGCGTTGCCCGACCGTCCGTCGAACGGGAAACGGCGCGCACAGGCAAAGCAAACCAAAGAACCCAATTCTTTGTCACCAAGTGCAATGTGAAACTCCCGCAGACAACGTCGATCCATGCTAAGGCACGCTGCGGGCGCCTCGGTTTGGCGTTGCATGGACACTGCTGCGGAGTACGTGCTCATGATTGCTTCATCCTGGGCACCGCGTCCCGGAAAATGGGCCACTGCAGCGCGCAGTTGCTTCATGTGTTCTTTCTTGACGTGGTCTCGCAGTTCGTCCTCGCAGTCTCCGGTCCAAGCACAGCCCACAAAGGCACAATGCGCATTCGGCAGATCGGCCCCCGTATCGCACACAGCTAGCGTTTCTTTGCCGAACGGCAGAAGCGGACACCGCCGCATGTGACCACGCACGCGCGCCACCTCCGCTTCATACGCAGCACGTGGATCTGGACTGTTCTCAGGCGACATAGCCCGGACGACAAATTCGTCCACATCCGGTACTTCTGGACACGGGTAAGCGGCGCAACTTTGCTTGCCGGTCACGCGGCGCGGTAGCAGAGGTTCTTGTTGTTTGGGCTTCTCCGTTTTCGATTCGTCGTGCATATCCTCACCTGGCAGTGGCTCGGGCGCCAAACTGTCTGATTTGCATATGCCGCGTCGATTCTCTTCGCAACCGGGCGCCAACTCCGGCTTGGCGGACGGATACCCGCCTTGCTTTCGCCCGCAACCACCAAACGCCGCAACACGGGCGAAGCAGTATCTGCGGAACGTGCGCGCCAACTGCGCTGGCCCTTCTACTTCACTTGCATTTGCCTTCGGCCGCTCCCTGCCATGATCTGCTGCAGTTTTCGACCGAGGTCTATGTCAGAGTCCCACAACGCCGAAATCAATGGCGCGGCTGCCAGTTGCGACGGAACCTGCTGCGTCCGATTCGCGCGCAAACGTACAAACTCCTCCAGGGCCTCTCCCAGCCACTCCGGGACCAGCCGCCCCGAAACCAGCGCCGACACGCGTGGCTCGTCCACGTCCATCTCGTCGCCAGCCTCACTGGAACTGCTTGAGTCGACACGTGCAGCTGCTGCTGACGACGCAGCCTCCACGCTGTGAGTCTCGCGCACAAGCGCTGTGTTCGACTCTGTACTATTTGCAGCGACATGCTGGCTGGATCCCAGTTTCCATCCCGGTCCAACCCCGCGCACTGGCGCTGTGTTTGACATCGTTCCGTTTGCCGTGCCACGATCGCTGGACCCCAGTTTCCGTCCCGCTCCAGCACAGTACGTGGCTACAAAACCAAGAAATTCCGCCGCAAGCCTGCGAGCGCACACACGTGTCGAATCTGAAAAAACTAACCCAGCCTGCATGAGCGTCAACAGTATCCCTGCGAGGTCCTCGCGACGATTCCACGCCGCTGCTACGCGCTCGACATCGCTTGCTGCCACGCTCAGTCCGTCTGCTCCGCGCCCACGCAGGAATGCTCCTAGCGCTGCGCGCAGTTCTGTGTGGTCCGGGGGCGACGTCCAGTTAGGCTCATCGACACGCACTGCCACCTCGGGTACAACCTTGTGCACCGCCGGCGCACATCCCTGCCCGTTTCTAGCAATGGCATCTTCCACTAGCGCATCGAAATGGTAACCTTGCCCACATACATCCATCTGATTGTAAAGCCGCAGCATTACAGTCGGGTGGCCTCGTACACCCTCTCCGACGAGAATCGCCATATTCAGAGGGTTCAAATCGGCACAGTCGAACCGCGTGTACACGACTATCATATAGGCGCCGAAGGAGCTCACGTCCGCGAACCGCTGCTCAAGGCGGGCCGCTGCCCTTCGCGCATCCCGCGCCGCATTGCTTGGCATTGATTTTAAGGGTAGGACCGCTTGCATAGCTCAGTACAAGGAAGGTTGCCAATACACAAGGTTGCAAATGAAAGGCTCGTCTGTTGGATTTCTGT